CATTTTCCAAAATCAACTATTTACAAATCTTCCAATAATGTGTTACATAGTTCTTATATGGAATCACTCAACAAGGAGTACGTATAGACGCCACTTCACCTTTTGAAAAGCTAAGAAAAATAAAATCAGAAAATAAAAAATGCTTCTATTTGCTCATCACTTTGCTTAAATGTTATCTTAGGATTTTGTAACTGTTCTTGTCCGTAGACATTTTGGCAGCCGTAAGCCTTGTCCAATGGATTCCTAATAATGCTTGAAAGTGTAGATTATAGATTACCCTAGGGCGAACTTCAAACATTTTGTTAAGAATCAAACCCATGTTTCCCTCCCAGATTTTTCCATTTTCTGGACGATGTTATCCACGTACATATCAGTAACCATTTTGTCATTATTCATTGTATCTTTTCTCGACAACGGCGGGCTTTCAGTAAATTTGCCTTCCTTAAGAATCTTATTGACTGCTTCGTTGCTTATTCTTGTTACAGTGGTGTTATATGTGGCCAAGTTTGAGCTTGTTCGTCGGCTCCTAGCGTCGTACAGATCATCTCCTTTTCTGTTGCAGAGTTTGCAAATTCTCTTGAACTCGTCTCTCATGCTCTTATCGAATGCAGAATAAATGACAGGATTTACAAAACTGTTAGCAGACGCCATCATCAATCCAAAATGAACTAACCAAGACGGCGGCGCTTTGCGAAAGAACAGTTTAAACGTTGTGGCGATGGTGTAGGGTAACCAACAAACTGCAAACATCCCAACCACAACTAACACCGTCCGTAAAATTGCACTCTGTTGTTTTTGACGCACTGCATCATCAGAAACCGCGTTTTGAGAACGATCTTTCATGAAACGACTGCTAACTTTAGAGCGATAGTAGATGATACCGTATACCACTATCATAGATACTACCGGGATAGCGAATGCGAAACCTGCTAAGCCCATGGTGTACAAAGTGTTTGTTAGGCCTTTAGCAGCCCAGTTAGGTTTGCAAGAGTTAGTGATGGGGTCTTCGATGATCTCTCCAAAGCCAACCAGAGGCGCTGCGGCCCAGAACACAGAGTGGACCCAAGCAAAGAGGATTAACCATTTAGTCCACTTCTGGGTGAAAGTTTCTTTCGCTCGGTAATGAAAAGGCTTTGAGACGGCGTTTAAGCGATCCAAACTGATCAGAAACAAAGTCATTATGGAGACGTTAAGAGATATTGATATTGCGGTGGAGTATGCGTAACATAATGGCTCTCCCATAGTC